AAAAGATGGCGGCATGTACATTTTACCAGAATGCATTGCGGTCTGAAATCGTTTAAAAGAGAGTTAAGTTATTTTTTACTTGTGTTAAAATTTCTACCATTAGCTATACTTCTTGTAATCTCCTTTTTAGCTATATGTATTTAATACCGGCACTGCATTCTGGTAAAATGTACATGCCGCCATCTTTTTTGCTATAGTCAATTAGTGTGGTAATTAATTTCCGACGAAGGGCTTTTGCTCGAAACATCGAATGTTATTGTATAGTTTATTTAGTGGAACTTTTGCTGCTTGTTGATACGCTTAATATACTCTTTCTTTGCTACCTCAGATGTTATCACTCGCCTCAAGAGAATTGAATTACAGTTGCCAATAACATGCACAGGTCTACGAAATGAAAACCCTACTTTGCCAAGTGGTACCTATTACATGTCCCTTAATAACACGTCATTTCCAGTCCACTGTGACATGAGCTCCAAAAACGCTTCCGGTGTAACAGTAATTGGACATGACAGCGAATCAAAAGTTGAAGTGAATGGTTATGAAAGTCCCGAATCATACAGAAGGAAAATAAAATACAACATCGACATGAGGCAGATTGCTGAAATTATCAGCCGATCTCAAAAATGTGAACAGTTCGTAAAATACGAATGCTTGAATGCTGGATTTGGTTTTTCAAAACCTTATTCTTGTTGGATACACGACAGGGCTGGAAAATGAAAAACTGGGGCGGAGCAACATCTAACAGCGGAAGTTGTGCATGTGGATGTCCAAAACTTGTACAACACGACTGTGTAACTGCGGCTTGAATGACAATGTTTGGACCGAAGACAGCGGGTTTCACACTGACAAGAAATTCTTGCCCGTCACAGAGTTGAGATTTGCTGATATAAGTCTCACAGTAGAAGGTTATAATGAGATGGGTTATCACTCCCTAGGAAAACTGCTATGTTGGGGATAACGGTTGCAACCGAACTACTACGAAAAACTGATACACACCATATAGTGTAACAAACCTTGATTTTAAGAGAACGTTGATCTAGCTTGTACGTGTTATTCAGTAGTTCCTAGTTTGTATAATCCAGCATTACTGTTCAAGAAAATTTCGTTAGAAATTTTTAGTCGAACTGGAAACATTTCGTTTATTATATTGATCTAATGGATTTAGTATTGTAATGAGTGCAACTGGTAAAAATGGGGAAGAGCTTTGATTTTGAGTATGCCTTATAAAAACATATCAAAAGTCATTCACTTGTTTGTGTGTATGAAATTCTTCGTGTAGTGTACTCTACATGTAATATGTCGGGTATAACACACATATTAGATACTACATGCTAAATTTTTTAGCGTCCAGATTAACCTCTTACAGTATTTATACAAATATGTACATACAGTCATTGTGCCTTAAAATATTCCTTCAAACCTGGCAGTTCTTTCAAATCATCACACGATCTTGCAATTTTGTACACTCTGAGAACAAGATCGGGAAACAAATTAAGGAAATATTCTTGAGGATCACCCACTTTTATTGCCTCGGGTTCCATCCTAGGACAGTCCTTCCAATGTTCTTTGATATTACGAATTAGCCGTAAACAGTCCGTCCATGACGAGGTGTATTTGAATTGTATCTTTTTCAACCTATCATAACTTAAATAATTTAAAACATCGATATCCATTTGAGTTATCCAATCTGATGTGTCTTTATTCAACTCTTTCACAGCATCTGAATTCACATCATTTTTCTTGACGTGGGGCTCATTTCCTATTCCACACAGCAAATTGAACTGCTGTTCCTTTGACTTAAGATAAGGATGTTGTAATGCTTCTTCAGCCGACGGTCTATCTTCGGGCTTGTGGCTCAACATCCACGATATCAAATCCTTGGCGAAAGGATGGCCATCCAACATGTTCAGATTAACTGGATTTGCGGCAAGTAAGTTTGCACGTACTTGTTCAGCTTCTCCAAAAGGATGTTCACCTTTTGTCAGAATGTAGAATGCTACCATTCCAGTTACCTAAGAGAAACCAAATTGCAGTCATTGCCGAATCATTTCCGAGATATGAACTGCAAATCCAAATAAAGTTTAGGATAAAGTTTAGATCTGAAAATTCTGTTCCAGAAATATTTCAAAATGTTTTAGGCAGGTAGTAGATCGTATATTTCACAGGCGGCCCAGACATGGGTATAGATCGATTGGTATCAGTATATATCTAGTAAGTATACAGCAGACAATTCCAGCTTTTGGCTGAATTTGTTTTCTAACTCAAAAAAATAAAATCCACCATCACAACTAAAAGAGCAAAGTTTGGTAAAATGCGGAAATGTAGCCCTGCAAAATACTAAAAACAATATACTACAACAACTATTCGCCTCAGGCTCAGTGATTATCGAGAATATTCACCTCGACTTCGCCTCTTCTTGGTTAATTAGTACACATTCAAAAAACATTCAGTACATTTCCATTGTTCAAAGTTGACAAAAACGGCGAAAACGAATAATTTTAGCGTTGTTTTAGTTTTTTAAATTTAACGCGGGCGCGGAACCGTGCAATTACACACCTGTGTAAATCATCTTTAATTTGCACAGTTCCTGAACGTTTTTAGCGAATCAGCGTCAAGGAAATTGACTACAATGATATTAAATCGTAGATTAACTAGTACTTGTATTATACCTAGTAACTTGTATTTGTATCAGCAAAATAATACCTGAATATCGGATTCTGCCTTGTAAAGTACTTTGGTATCATCAGAAGAGCCGCTTTCAGAACACGATTCAGTGGCTTTCCACTTTTTTGTTCCCCTCTCCACGCTAATGTGCGTAGTTTGATCATCGGGTAAAATGCGACCGATACCAAAATCTGCCAGCAACCACTTATCATGGACATTTCGTAGAATGTTCAATGGTTTCAAATCACGATGCAAGATGCAGTGTGGTTTTTTATGGAGATCTGCTAATCCTTTCAAAATTTGCTGAACAATGTCATGTGCAACTTTTATCAGATCGTCTAGAGTATTACGAGCGACAAATTTTTCCAAAGTTTCCTCACATAATTCCATGATTAAAAATGCGAACATGTCGTGGCTTGTGTCGTCGAAGTACCAATACGTCACAACATGGGCTAACTCTTCAGTTTTGCATATTGTTAACAACTCCTTTTCCTCTTTAGCTAAATCACCGTGAGTAGCTTTGAAAAAAAGTTTTATAGCCTTCTCACTACCATCTCTTCCTAATCCTAAATAAACCCCAATACTTTGACCTCCTTTTCCAATAAGAAACTCTTCCTTCAAACAAACACGTACACCGTTTATTTCCATGATTTCGTCAGTATACTTCCGTCCATGTTCGATCAACTTTTCGAACTTTTCTTCATATGCTTTAGAAACCTTTTTCCATTTCCATGATTCGTTCCTCGCTACAAAAACGATAAATTTTATTTTTATATGGCTTTTCAAAATTCTCTATTGGTTGACAAGCGGTCCGTAAAAACTCATATCCGGACCGTGTGCCGTATTTTCCGTATCTGGACAGGTGTCCTGGATATCGTTTATCTGGCGGGAAATTTTTGCTTTGCAAACAGAAAAGATTTTTGCTTTTTAATTTTCCAATTTAAAATTTACAGATAAAAATTTCAAACAACCAAATTGTTTTTGATTTACCATTCATGCCTATCGTATATTGTTGCCCAGGGAAACTGACGATAGACGATTTAATTCGCGCGAAAAGCATATGCTCACAGACTCTGTTCAGCCATATAATAAAGCGATTATTGACCTCGCTTGTTCGGTCTGTACTGTGAAATATCAGACCTCTGTTTTTTCCATGCACCTCCCTCCTTCGTCGCTCGTTCCATACTAAAAACCTCGGTCTGATATTTAACAGTACAGACCGGACGCTCGGTCAATAAGCCTTTAATATCTCAATGCTAGTCAGATGGGAACGGTGACAATACACAAAAAAATCTTGAAAAAATACACAAAATTTACTATACAGGGTGTCCCAAAAAAAACACAAAAAAAACGGAACCCGCACAAATTAATTATGTATTCACTGAAATTATTATTGAGAATAATGTAATTATTTACGATTTATTATGGTTGCAAGCCCAACCATAATAAATCATAAATAATGTTTTGGAAGTGTTTTAAACTCTTTCAAAAACACGATTTAACGGTTCCTTTTCCGCGGTTCCTTTTCTCGCCCCCAAAAAGTGCGTTTTGTCGCGTCAAGACCTTCAAGAACGCGATCACATATATTCCTGTTTATTTCATTTTTAAGATACGAAACTATTGTTACCATTTCCATATAACATCTTGCGGACCAAACAGGCTTGGCCATCCCACGATGTCGATTTCGTGATCTTTAATAAGATTGTACAATCGCATTCCAAAATGCTGTCATACGAAAACATCCTACGTTTTTTCGAGTGAGAGAAAGGATTTGCGGTTTTCGTAACAGAATTTCTGCAGGTAACATAACTACTTTAGATTGTTAGAACATGCAAAAACATCTGCAATTGAATACAAAACGAAGTATTAGAAGAAGTAAGATAACAACAATACATGAGCAGAGGTTTTTAAAATGCTAAAGTTGTTATTTGCCACCAAACCTTTGAATAAACCAGGGTGTATAAAAAAAAGCGCAATCCTCGACTGAAATGTAAATTGCTAAGCAAATAATAAACAAAAACATTAAAGTTTACATTCATTTTAAAGCGTAGCCATTCAGCTTTCTAACAGTGGGTTGTTTCTTAAATGTGACTCATTGGTTCGCGGGTAATAATACTTTACGTTATTGCGATTGGAGATTAAAAAAATTGAGATGGAATAACAAATCGTTCTCATGAAAATAACTGATTTTTTCATTAAAACAAAAAATGTTGCATTTTATTAAATGGATTGTAACAATAAGTATAATTACGGCTTTTCTTCCACTATTTTAACTCAGTTTGAAACTTCAAATGCGATATAATTTTGGCTTGGACCATCTAAGCTGACTGACATCAACTTGCTATAATTTCTGTTTACATTACATCGCAATTCGATGACACTCTGGCTCAGACACCAGAATGTTTTGACGATTTTTAGCATTCGTTTAGGATTTTCAAACAACCTGGTCTCTTTTAAAATACTTTTAATTTGTTCTTACGTGGTTTTCCAGATGTAGTGACGACAACATTAAGTTTAAAGAAGAAAATTCTAACATTTAAACCGACTAAACAATAACATAGTAAACTTGCATAATTAAGCAGCAACTAAAAATGATAGGTTTTACTAAATCTTTTCCTGTGCAATTATTACTAGCATTGGAGACAAGGATAATAGTTTGTTTGAAAGAGAAAAGAACAGGCTTTGAAGTAAGCCTAAAAGCGTTTAACTAGAAATAGTATTTCGAAAGTTATAAAGCACACTGAAAAGATGAATTGTGTTTATTTTGATACACCCTGTATATACAGGGTGTCCCAAAAAAACGGAAACCGAATAAATAATTATGTATGCATTAAAAGCGAAATCGCTTTGTTATATGACAGTATTTTTAACTAGTTTTCAGCTTTGACTTATACTGTACACAAAATGTAAAATCCTAGAGGCACAGAAATGTCAAGTTCATTAAGCTATTGTTTATAATAATTTAAACTGATACCTTTACATTTGCAGTGCTGTAACTCATCACACACTTCTTTTTTAACAGTATCAGATAAATTAGTGCTTTCCACCAAGGATTGCATTTCTTTAATTGTCTCATTGAACTTGGCATCGGTCCACATAGAGAAGTCATCAACAGACCACATATTGGACCACACGGCTTCCCTTATATTTTTTGCATGAATTGCAGTACCACACGTTACAAATGGCTCTGCTTCCAACATGATAGTCAGTACAGCATAAAAATCCATTGTTTCGTCAAAACCTGTAAACTTTGCCATGTATGGTTGCAGAAAAACCTTTGCCAAAGACAGAGGATCCTTCACCGCATAGTCATGTGTGCTGGGGGATTTGTGCACATTATTATCGTTAATGTTTTCATATTTTAAAGGAAACTTGGATGGTGGTAGTGTCTCCAGATGCTTTTCGAAAACTTGCTTGTCAATTTCAGTAGGTGGTTTAGTTAAGAGATTATACCAGTCCTGGAATTCTGCAGCAATAGCATTTTTCAAGTTAGGTGCCAGAATTTTGTTGAGACAAATGGAAATTGTAGACCATCTTCTTTTTTCAAGTGATGGGGTACCAGTGGTGCTTACTACATTTGCCATTGGAGACCTGTAAATTAAATAAAATATGGAGTTTTTAGGTCAAAGCATTTCCTCAATCAATATTGAAAATTAACAATCTTCTTCAATCTTCAATGGTGGCAATAGATGGTGCCCAGAAAAGTCAGTTAATACTTTCATGGCAGGTAGGTTGTACAATTTGGAATATAGCAGTGTCTGATCACAGACTTCACATCACAGGCTTCACAACCTGCTAAATCATTGTGACAAATTCAAAACAAACCAGCCCTTTGGGTTTAAACTCCTAGCTAGAAAGAACTTCGGTACGGCTAATATAGTGGTGTGCTAAAAAGAGGTTCTAAGTTTCCATTCTGATAGTACTTCCTTGATTAATTTAGTGATTGAAAAATAAAAATTTGAATAGTGATAAATTTGGTGGACAAATTCATCAGATTTTCTTAATATTGCAAGGCCTTTTTATTGTGGTGCTAATTCCGCACGGGCCGCACGGCTAAAAGAAAGCATTAGCGAAGTCTGGGGGGTCATTGTTCATGTCATTGAACTCTAAGTGTTTGGAATGATAACTTCAGGTAAACATGCCAATACTTGCCTGAAGCCAAGATGGCGGCCTCGAAACGCCTGTGAGTTGGTTGTATTTACTCCCTCAATCCTTATTTTTTACTCAATAGCAGTGGCGGCGCCATGCCTCAGAATTTGGGGGGCATTTGAGAGGCAAACTCATATTTGGGGGGGGCGGGCAAGATAGAATTTTCAAAAAGGTACTGCTATTTTGTATAAACATATTTATTAAAATTGCGTTTGCCCAAGAGCAATAGCTCATCTAGGGGGCTCACGCAACATTTACATTAATTTTGTGAGAGTTAAGACTCCATAAAGCACACAACAAAAGGCAAAAGCGATAATTGGTAGGTTGAACTAAGAAAAACGTTCAGTTTGCTTTATATAGTACTGGACAGATTTAAAAATATTTTGGTTCTCAGAAATATTCAAACTAGTAGAACCAGATAGAAGAATATTTACTCGTTGCAAATCTGAGAATAGATACCAATTATCACCAAACACTTGTGCAGCACTCGAGTGTAAGTTGTGTCTAAGAGCAGCATAACGGGGACATCTTTACAAATAATGGGCAACTGTTTCATGCTCCGTGTTACAAATGCACATAGGCGACAGGATACAATTTATTTTGAACAAATAATAATTTAAACCACAGCATCCCAAACGCAAACGAGTATGCAAGATTAAAGAAAACCTATCATTCGCAAAATCATATAACTTATTATATGTTTGAATATCAAAATATTGGCATAACGAGCGTTTAAAAGCATTAACAGAGGATAAATCACGATCTCTAAGCTCGAGATTGTTCCACATAAACGTAGCCGAAGGAAAAAATGACTTTTTAAATCTTTCAGTCCTTGACATATACAAGGTAAAATTTGCAGAATTTCTCAGAAAAAGGCCCGACCTTTGTTGCACCTTTGGGGTAACAAGTCTAATAAAAAGCTTGGTGTAAGATTATTAGGCGTAAAAAAGAAATACCTGTGGTTCCGGTTTCATATCGTGAAAAAATTAGGGTCGGTAGGTCGGAAATAAATTTTTTTTTTGAATATTTTTTTCATGGTTTTGTCGGTTTTTTGCTGGGCGATTTACAGTAGAGTCCCGACATCAATATTAACTAGAGGTGCGTATTTCCTATGGACGAATTGAGGCAATTTGGTTCAATAATTATTGTGACAAACAGACGCCATTCTGGCATGCAGTATGAGCAGCCCGCAACCACCTGGAGGAAATAGGGTCACACGGTCAATCCCGTTGAAAAAATAATAGGGTCGGCAGAAAAAAATAGGGTCGGTCGGGAACCGGAACCACAGGTATTTTTTTTTTACGCCTTAACAATTTTATAATATAAAACAAGCTTATGCATAGAACGCCTGGTATTCATATCTTCCCATGCTAATTCATCCGACAATCTGGATCTACTAGTTCCCCTCATAGCACCCGTGACCACTCTTGCTGATTTGTATTGAACCGATTCAATGAGATCACACTCACTCAAGGAGCAATTATCCCAAATCACATCAGCATATTCTAAAACGGGTCTTATAAGCGCCTTGTACAGTTGATTTAAAGCTTCTCTATTGATTCTAAATTTCAAACCTTTAAAATAATTTAATCTTTTTGACGCTCTTTCATAAATATTAAACACATGAGCTCTGATCTCCATGAAAGATTAGACGAAAGTGTGACTCCTAGATGCTTATGATTACTAACAGATTCAATGGCTTTATTATCATACTTTAGCTGAGGATAAAGGTACTGGTATTTGCCAGGTACTGCTATTTGCCCATGCCGTTGGTACTGCTATTTGCCCATGCCGTTGTCACAGGACTTTTGTCCCCCCCCCAGGAGATTCGCCCCCCTCTAAAAAGGGGGCGATATTCCTAGGAATACCGCCCCCGGGGGACGAATATCCTAGGAATATCCCCCCACAGAGGAGCGAATGCCCCAGGAATATCGCCCCCCCCCCCTTTAGAATATTCGCCCCCCATATATGCGATGTGGTTTATTCAAATAATTTCGTGATACTTTCATCTTATTGGTGCCTTAAGGCCCATACAGACCGGACGCTATTGGCAACGCGACGCGAATTTTCACTCATTCATTGTTTTTCAAATATTCGGGACCACTTAGCAATTTTAGCTATTTGATCTGCATACCTTGTAAAATTTTTACCCGTTGACGGTTTTATTTGTTTTTGAAAACTGAAACTCCGATTCGCGTCGCGTTGCCGAATCGCGTCCGGTCTGTGTGGGCCTTTACAGGTTTGAGAATTTAACTTTGCAAAACTAAAGCTTTTTTGTCTTTTTTGAAACGTATTATTGGAGTATTGGCAAGATTTACCATTCAAAGATTTACAAACTAATATTTAAACTGTAAAAGACAGTTTCATGTATACGCCATTCACTAGTTTGGTTTTTGCCGTTAGAAAATATTGTGTCACTAAATCTGTTGAAACTGTAAAAGACAGTTTCATGTATACGCCATTCAATAGTTTGGTTTTTGCCGTTAGAAAATATTGTGTCACTAAATCTCGGCAAAAGACAAGATATGTTCGCAATTTCAAAAGATTCAATGCCAATAACTTTCTTAATGATCTTTCCCAGATGCCCTGGGAAAATGT